GGAGTGGGGGAGAGAGATGGGGGGGGGGGCGGGGGGTTGGAGATGGTGGCAAAAATAGGAAAAAACTTAATGCATAATGTTAAATGAGGAGACAGGTGTAAAATTCTATCTCTAATATTATTGCAGAGTATCCCATTTTGTAATTGGACCTATAAACGAGGATTCTAAAGTCGTGTGGACCAATACACTGATTTGATTAGGTGATGAGGCTGTGAACAATCCCCTTTCTGAATTTCTATGGTCATTTGAAAACTGTTATTTCCATTTTAAAACGTTTCACTGTCCCCGCCCCAGTCCAGGCCCAAGCAGTGGCACTTCCTATCAGTTTTAATCAATTCCACGTCGGTGTCTGGCCCTTCGGTCTCTCCTGATAGAGTTCATCCTGCAGCTGGCACGTCGCTTTCCTGTCCCCAGACTGAGCGACTTCCCCAAGGCCCATCCAAGCCATGTGTACCCCTCCCTTCAGCTTTGAAGACCCCCAATAATCTGGCCCCAAATTGCCTCTTCCTTCTCCCCGACACCCAGATTCCGTGTCAGGTGCCTTTCCTGGGCCGGCAGTGTTCTGGAAGCTGGGGATGCAACAGGGGACCAGCGAGGCCGGTTGGAGATCACACCGGCCCTTGCTCAGCACCGTGCCCTGCACGCACAGTGTGACCAATGAATGCATGTGCCCCTGGTGGGCGTGGTCCCATGGACTTGAAACCTCTCAGGGTGGCCTGGAGAAGGCTTGGGAGAGGAAATGAGAATTTCCAGATATTTGAAGGCTGTTGGGGAGATAACGTAAGGCAGAACTGTAACAGGAATAACGGAGCTGCCATTCATTGGGTACTTACAACGTAAGTGCTTCCCATGCTGTAACTCACTTAATTCTCACAGCAGCCCTATGGGATGGGTACTCATCACCCCCATTTCATAGACAAGGAAACTGAGGCACAGATCCATGTAGCAGCTGGTCAGAGGTCACACAAGCCAGGATGTGAAACCGGTCAGTTTGCTTCCCTTTCCATCTCTCCGATTGGTGGATGCCCCGGGCAGACCGGTTTTAAGGGCGGGAGCTTCCTTTGGACGCCAGAAGTGTCGGCATTTAGGGCATTTGAGCCGCGGCAGGATGACCACCTGTCAAAGCATCCTATTGGGGATTCCTGGGGGTGTCAGGTGACTGATTGTTTCTGCAGCACAGGCAGCGCCCAGAGCCTTGGTAGAGCTGCTCTGAGATGCTAATGAGTGATTTCCTCTTGTCTCTTCCAGCTCACAGCCCCTCACTTCCCCGTGGTGGTCAAGCTGGGACATGCCCACTCCGGAATGGGAAAGGTATGAGAAGCAGCTCTCACACTCATGTTCATGCTCATACAGACACCCTGTCCCCCTCTCTGTCCGTCCCTCACCACTCCCAAAGTGCACTCCCCCTCCTGCCCAGCCCAGCCCCCTTCCTCTGAGCTCCCAGAGCTGGGAACCTCTCTCCAGCTCTGTCCGGACTCGCCGAAACCACGCTGGAACTGCTAGCTAATTGTCTCCTATGATTGTGGCTTCAGGGTAATGAATGTAAAGCATCTTGTAAATGGTGATTCTTTTGTATCTGTCATCATCTATGCCAGTGGTTCTCAACCTTCCTAATGCCATGACCCTTTAATACAGTTCCTCATGTTGTGGTGACCCCCAACCATAAAATATGTAAAGCATCTTGTAAATGGTGATTCTTTTGTACCTGTCGTCATCTGTGCCATGGCTGGCTGTAAGCTAGTGGCTTTGTCACTGCAAGGCTAACATCTAGAAAGTGGCTAATACATTGGGCTCCGTGGAGGAAGTCCCTGGAGCCAGTCAGCTTCTGTGAAAGTAGATGATATATTTTACACCGTCACAGCTGACATATTGGTCTGATTCTTTCGGTTGCAAATATAGAAACGCTACTCAAATTTGGGGGAGAGAGGTAATTCATTGGTCCAAGCCATCGGGAAGTCTAGAATAGTTCTTGATAGACATGGCTGGCTGTAAGCTCATGGCTTTGTCACCTGCAAGGCTAATATCTAGAAAGTGGCTAATACATCGGGCTCCATGGAGGAAGTCCCTGGAGCCAGTCAGCTTCTGTGAAAGTAGATGATATATTTTACACCGTCACAGCTGACATATTGGTCTGATTCTTTCGGTTGCAAATATAGAAACGCTACTCAAATTTGGGGGAGAGAGGTAATTCATTGGTCCAAGCCATCGGGAAGTCTAGAATAGTTCTTGATAGATTAGGACAGCGCTGGATTCAGGAACTCAAATGATACTGACAGAGCTCAGTCTCCTCTCTCTTGACTCTGCTCATCTCTACTTGGAGTGTTCTTAAGACAGTCAGCATGGCTACGGGTGGCCCACCTGGTCCCTAAGCATCTCTATGTCTGATCTCATGGAGGGGCATTGATCGGCCTTGCTTGGGTTCCTGTGTCCACCCTGAACAAGTGGATATGGAGATGTATTCAGCCCCACTCAAACCAGACCGATCAGGGTCTCCACAGGAAATGGAGATTTACTCCTCAGTAAGGGGGTAGGAGTGTGGGGAAATGGTGGGGAGTGGCTACCACAGGCCGCCTCTCAAACTTCTGGCACCAATAGAACCACGTGAGAACATGTAGATCTCAGCGCATGCCATCCCTGTTGGAGGGACCTGAGCCCAAGCACCAGTCCAATGCAGGGGTCCTAGGTCAAGGACAGCAGGAGCCAGTAGCAACCTTGTTCTGAGAAGGCCCACCCAGCCGCAAATAATCCTGCACCTTACACCTTTGTTCTTCCCCACCCTGTGTTCCTTCTGCATCATCGCTTCCCACCTAAACTCCATCCCCTTCAGGCAGCAAAGAAAGAGCCCAGCAGGTCAGGCCACGACCCCAGCTCTGATGTCCTGAACTTGAGCCAGTTCCCATCTAACTTCCCTTGCCTCCTCATCTGTGGAATGATGACCATTCCAATGACCGCCTTTCAACTGAATCTCCCTCCATGCTACCTCTCCCTAGAAAGTACACACCGTGGGGGCGGGGCTCTGCCTGTTCACCCCACCTCTGTGTCCTGTACGGGCCCCTGGTGCACAGTGGCCCCTCCGGTTGTTGGTGGACTGGATGGGTGAGTGAACCCGTTTTGATGCATCCCTGTGTCTGTTCCCACGGCCTCTCCTCCCAACCCTGCCATTCTGCTGAGGCTGCCCTCCCCCTGGTCCTCAATAACCTAACCCAACAGGAATTTTTTCTGAATCGAGCTCTCTGTGTCATTAAAATCTGCTGCCTCCCTTCTGTCCCGCAGTCCTTCCTCCAGGGAACTCCTGGCTCTCCTCTTCTCTCCCTGACCACGGTTTCTGTGTCCTCCAAGGACCTTCCTTCCTGCTCCATTCCTCGCTGTCTATTCCATCACCCGCACTATCTGAGCGCTCATCTACTCTTTCATCATCAGCGGCATCTACACACCAACAGCCAGCCCCCAATCACACTTCCTATCCAGAGCACCAGACTCATATCCAGCTCCCCCCTCAGCATCTCCACCTTGTCTCCCATGGAAACCTCAGACTCTAGGCATTGCAGACCATGCCCATGATCTTCCCAGACACCCTGCTTCCCCTCCTTGTCTCCCTCCTCCTCCTCCTCCTCCTCCCGTGAGCGTATCTAGAGCAGAAATCGCCAGTCCTCCCGTTGTCCCTGGGAGTCATCACCTCTCCTCCTCCATGTTCAAATGGTCATCAAGTCCTTACTTGCCCATTATTAATGTCTCTCCAGCTTGTCCTGTTCTTTCCACCCGCTGCCACCATGTTGGACAATTCTTGTAACACTAGAGGCCCAGTGCGTATGAAATCGTGCACGAGTAGCTTGCTTCCGCCTGCTTCAGCTGGCCACCCCGCCCATCGCCGCTCATAGCTCGTACCCCACCCTCCACCACTTGTAGCTCGCACCCCGCCCCGCCTGCCGCAAGAGCCACTGCTCACGGGCCAGGGGGAGGGACCAAGAGGTGCTCCATGTACCTCCTGGTGACAGTCGTTTGGTCGTTCCAGCGTTACGGCGTTACAGCCACTGGCCTTTTATAGTATAGATTAGAGGGTTTAAATTCTGTTTCTAAAGCTTAAAATCATCCCAGACAGGAAATAAAAGGAAGAAAATACTTAAAGAGGCTGACCCAGTGCTGGGGGGCGGAGGGGGTGCCTCTGAGAAACTCAGGCCCAAAAGGGACTTGGAAAACATGGAAAGGAGGACACGTCTCCAAGGACGGAAAACATCACCAACTGAAATAAACTGAGGTTTAAGGAAACGCTGAGAGCGAGGGAAAAGGGCTTCCTCCTGCTGTTTGGGATGAGAAAACTGTCAGAAACACTCTGGACGTGCCGACTGAGCAGATGATGTCATATTCATGGCCAGGAGAGAGAAAAACAAAATTGCTACCTTCTATGGTACTTCCAGCTCCTCTCAAGAAGGGAGATTGCCTGGAGCCCAGCAGAGCATGTTCTTAGAAGAAACTGGCAGAAGCTGAGCATGAACTCAGTGTTGCTGGGAGTCCACCTAGCGCCCTGTGCATGCGATCACTGAGCCATCCGTCACATTTCTCCTCTGTTCCTATGTGTTGATTGGGGCCTGCTCTGTGCCAAGAATTGGAGGATGAGTAGGACCCAGACTCTCTCTCACTGAATTGGGGCGACAGTCACATAAAGAATTAAGTGTAATGTGTGTTAGAGGTCTGGGAGAAGGCTTCGCAGGGCCGTATGGGGATTGACGGAAGAAGATTTTAATGTAGCTTGAAGGAAGGAACTTAATTCGCCCTAGGGGGTGGAGGGATAGAAAAAACTTCTACCTCAGGGGAAATGTGGGTGGTTTGTGTGCCTGGAAATGTAAGGGATTCCAACAAAGAAGAACGACTTGAAGAAAAGAGGTGGATGAATACCCTCTTGTATTAAAACAAGCGCGATAGGTGTCACAAGGCACAGAAATCAAACACTGTGCAGTTGGGGGAGCACTTAGGTAGGAGGTAATCGTGGGGAACACCAGGAGGTGATCATGGGGAACACCAGGAGTTCTTCAGAAATAAGTCCAACTCGACCAATGGTTCATATGAGCAGAGGATGGTTCTGCCCGCCGGCGGCATTTGGACATGTCTATACACAATTTGGGTTGTCACAGCGAGGGGTGGGAGAGGTTCTACTGGCATCTGGCATCTACCAGGTAGAGGCCAAGGATGCTGCTGAACATTCTCCAATGCCTGAGACAGTTCCCCTCCCCCCCAAAAAAAACAGCAAATTATACAGCCCAAAATGTCAGCAGTGTCAATGCTGAAAAACCCTGGACAAAACTAATTCCATTTTCTTTTTCCTTTGTTGAAAGTTTTACCAGACTGTATAAACCAGAGGAGGCAGTCATTATTATAGAGTTCAACATGCTTCAAAGTCTGTCCCAAAGAATTATAATTATAGGTCAGATTAACATGCATGAATCTCACAAACACCATTGCCAGATTCAAAAGAATTCCTATTTGTATGTTCCATTTATAAAAAATAAAAAAATAAAAATAAACAGGGAAATTAAACTATAGTGTTAAAGTGGGATACATACTTGGGTAATACAACTTTTTTATTTTATTTTTGTGTGTGTGTGTGTTTTGTTTTTTACATTTTTTTAAATTAAATCTTTATTGTTCAGATTCAGATGATGATGTCATATTCATGGCCAGGAGAGAGAAAAACAAAATTGCTACCTTCTATGGTACTTCCAGCTCCTCTCAAGAAGGGAGATTGCCTGGAGCCCAGCAGAGCACGTTCTTAGAAGAAACTGGCAGAAGCTGAGCATGAACTCAGTGTTGCTGGGAGCCCACCTAGCGCCCTGTGCATGCGATCACTGAGCCATCCGTCACATTTCTCCTCTGTTCCTATGTGTTGATTGGGGCCTGCTCTGTGCCAAGAATTGGAGGATGAATAGGACCCAGACTCTGCTCTCACTGAATTGGGGCAACAGTCACATAAAGAATTAAGTGTAATGTGTGTTGGAGGTCTGGGAGAAGGCTTCGCAGGGCCGTATGGGGATTGACGGAAGAAGATTTTAATGTAGCTTGAAGGAAGGAACTTAATTCGCCCTAGGGGGTGGAGGGATAGAAAAAACTTCTACCTCAGGGGAAATGTGGGTGGTTTGTGTGCCTGGAAATGTAAGGGATTCCAACAAAGAAGAACGACTTGAAGAAAAGAGGTGGATGAATACCCTCTTGTATTAAAACAAGCGCGATAGGTATCACAAGGCACAGAAATCAAACACTGTGCAGTTGGGGGAGCACTTAGGTAGGAGGTAATCGTGGGGAACACCAGGAGGTGATCA